GTTTCCATGCTGAATCACCGTCGCCCTCCACGTCTTCGATGTTGAGGTTCTGCATCACGCAATTCAGCGCAAACGACCAGTATTGGGCGGGTAATCCGGCGTGTAGCATGGATGCTGCGACTGTGTTGATCACTTCTTGATTTGATCGTTCAGCGAGTGAATTGTTACTGGGTTTCCCTGGAAGGGAATGATCTATCACGATCTTCAACTGCGCCATAGCTGAATCGAACTCTGGTGCTTCATCACTATACGCCATATGAATCTTGCGTCTTCCCATTAGGCGTCTGATGGCCATGACGACCTCGTCAGTGCTCCTTGAAGCCGTGGGAATCGCTGCGATCATTTTGGTGGCGATGTCTCTGATGACTAGAACTTCACGTGCTCCATCATCGAGTCCGATACCTGCTTCGGCGGCCTTGCGCATATCAAGGAAGTCGAACGTCACAAGATCTCCCCAGTGTTTGATCACACGTTGAAACGCACCTCGTTGTGTCGCAAGTGCTTCATCTTCGCGCGTATGCACGATTCGCAATATGGATTGCGGTAGCGATGAGTACACAGATGTGCCAACGTCTTGGCTTCGGCTTTCAGTGTTCCGACTCTGGCCTTGCGGCTCGGCGCACCGTCGCCTTCCACATCAATGATCACCTCATCGTCACCGTCCAATGGAATTTCACCCACTCCTTTTCCTTCGTCGTCGTCCGGAGGTCGTCCGGCCTCGGACTCTGGCACTTCTTCTATAGGAGGTTCTTGGGGTTCAGGATCAGGAGGCCGTTCATGATCGTCACCTTCTTCTTCTGCTTCAACCTCGCTTGGTGCAGCTTCAGCGGCAGCTGCGACACTGACGTCAACAGTCACCTGCGGTTAGCACACTCTTGAAGATTTCGGTGATCGCTTTGGCCTCCGGATCATCATGAACAAGTGACTTGGAACTCCCGGCACGAATGTACGGGATGTCACCGTTCACGAACAGAGATATCCTCTTGCCCTGCGGGTTGATCATGAATGGTTCCCTTCCGGGTGGCCACACAAACCCGTAGTTGAAGTTCATACATCTCTTGCCAATGGAAAGCACCGATGGTGTGTCGTCCAACACGTAAGCGTTGATCGGTTCCTCGAACGACTCAGTCTGGAAATTCGACACAAGATCGGTATCGGTGATTCCATTTGCTGTCTGAAATGATATGGGCTCTGGAGTCACGAGTGTCTCAAGACTATGCTTCTCGATCTTCTTCTGAGATATGAGGTCATGGCCACACCCAGTGTCCATGAGAAACTTGATCTTCTTCTTGAGGATGACTGGTTGAACCATGCATTTGCATACACCTTGATTGATGATCCGCTTGCTGTGCGCAGCATCGAGTTCACGCTCAACGATGGAATCCTCACCGTCGTAGAAGGAGACTTCCTCCACCCGAGACGTTCCTGGGATTCGCACGAATGAAACTCGATCTCCACATTGATCATCATCGTCGTCAACCATGTCTCTCATAATCTGTGCCCTCAATCTCGCTTTGTGCTTGGCGAATTCCAAATTCACGGCGCGATCCTCATCGTTGACAAGCGCTTCCATGTCGACGTACTTCACCTTCCGCTCTTTGTCCTTCTTCGATCTTCTAGGACACGAAGAAATGAACTTCACGTCATCGGCGAATGTCACATTACGCTTGATCCCTTTTCGGGTCGACGTAGTTGGTCCCGAGGATTCGTCGTCTGTTGAACAATCCGAATCAGCGTCGCTGTCAACGGATGGACAATCTGACTCCTCCTCATCTTGTCTTGAAGATCGCTTCCATATCGCCGGAGCTGATGGATTCCACCTTCGGCACAATCTGATGGCGGGTGCCGCAGGGAGCGCCTTGGCCTTGGCATTCGGCTTCGCTGGAGCTGCCTTCGCTTCGGATTTGGCTTTAGCCTTTGCCTTTGGTTCCGGAGCTGGGGTAGCTGCTGCCTCATGCTTGAAAGGACAATTCTCTCTTGAGCACGAGCCTGTGTTCTTGAACGAGTAGCATATCCTGTTTCCTCCTCCTCCAGATGGACTTGGAGTTCTCGTCCTCGGCGTAAAGGGTCGCTCTGGAGTCTTCTTCGAGTGACTGAATGGGCACTTGTCACCATTTCGACACCCTGCATCTGTGAAATGGAACTTGCAGCGGATTTGCTTCTTGCTCTTGTCGCCTCTGTTGTCCGCTGACTCACTCCTCGTCTTCTTCTTGGGCTTTGGCTTGGTCTTCGCATGACTCTTCGCTTTGCTTTGAGGTAGTACAGGTGTTGCTTTATCCGGCTTGGTCGGCGAAGCCTTGACCTTTGCGGATGGAGCTGCGTTAGGCGTTGGTTTCTCAGGTACCTTGGCCGGTGCAGCAAGCAAATCCTTGCCCTCAAGCATCTGGCGCAAGCCAATTTGGGTCTGAGTGAGATTTGATTGTTCTCGTCTCCGCATGATGGTACGGTCAATGATCTTCATCAAATTGTCGTACGATCGGTCTTCATGATTGTAGGGCAAGTGTTCGTAGTGCATGCCCAACTCCATCTTCATTGCGGGCGAGTCCTTGATCTTGCTGTACAAGCAATCACGGAGAGCTGTTTTGGATGGTATGTCTTCTGGCCTCATCCGTCCCAGAACTTCCAACCACGTCTGCTTGAACGTATGAAGCTTGTTGTCGCCTTGGTACTGGAGCTTCACCAGATACTCGAGAGTGATGATCATGTCGAGACGATCATGCGTTCGAAAGCTTTCATACATCATCGCAATGATTTGTCGTCCTTTGATGATCTTCCCTTCGGGCCTGCTGATGTAATCGTTGGCCTTCCGGTTCACCTCCAAGTACAGGTCAGCAGATTTGTCACCACCAGCACGTAGCATTGCGACCATTGCGATCCCCAATTTGACGTCTACGCTCTTAAACTTCTTGTGTCCTGAATCGTTCAGTGCTTCGACATCAGGGAATGGGTTGAATGCTGGTGCCAGCCATAACATCCAGTCCTCATGATTTGGATCGGCTGATGCTCCTAAGACATTCGCCGTGCATACGGATCGCCAGTTGTTGAGGTGAGTGAGAGTAGGCCATGGAGGAACGGTCACTTTATCGGCCTCCCTCCTGGAAATTCTCACCTCCGTGACTTCAGGATCTGCGTCTCCATCAGGATCACGCGCATGAGATCCAGGATCCGATTCAGGTTTGCCTCCACCGCTTCTCTTCTTATCATCATCATCATCAGGCGGGTCTGGAGGATCATACCCCGTGCCGGTTCCTTCATCATGCTCTCCATCTTCATTCTCGTCGCCAGCTTCGTCACCGTCATCGTCTCCATTATCCTCCTGAATCGTTTCAGCGAATAATCTCCACTCATCACGATCAGCTCTGAGACGTTGTTCGGCTTTCTGGGCCTTGAGTACTTCGCTTCGCAGATCGGCAATCTTCTCCTCGTACCGTTCCGCGACCTCTTTCTCGATCTGACGTCTCCTTGCTTCATGAATGGAATCGTCATAGGCAATAGGGGGACCGATGAGGTCGTTGCCCTTCGTAGATGCGGTGATACCGTCGACACCAACAGGTCTTGAGGAGCTGGCAGATGCTGTGGACTTCGATCCCAACATCCCGCGATCCTCCAAGAGTTCGCGTAGCTGTCGATCACGCACGGCTGCCGCATCACTTTTCCCATGAAATCCGCTTGGTATGCCGAACAAAGTGGCTGCACTAGGCGTGGAACGCGCAAGTGCTGGGCTGCTAATACCTGGCACGTAGTGCTCGGGCATTGCATCCGCCACGATTGGCATTGAATTGCGGCCAGTGAAGAAGTTTCCACCGGTAAATGGAATTCCATCCATCACAAGGTTCTTGTCCTTGTCCGATTCCGAGAATGCGAACTTCTCTTTGGCGACTGGACTAACTTGACTTGGGGACCGTATTTCAGGGGATCGTACCTCACCTCCTACGGAAAATGCAGGCACTACTTCCTTTCCTACGTGCTCCCAGCCAGACTCAGTAGTCCTCGAAGACATGGGCATGCTTGAAGGCCGTGTCGCTCCTCCATAATTGGAGTTTCGCGCCGCCTCCAATTCGCTGCGTGTCCTCGCTTGAAGATCTTCTTGTGCTTTGAGCGTTTTCCTGAGTTCACTCAGCTCGTCGTGCAAGGTAGGCAATGATCGCCTTGCATGATCTTCATTCTGATGAAGTCGTTCCTCTGCTTCTTGCATCCTCTTCACAGCCATTTTGCGGTACTCTTCCTCTTCACCAAGACGTTCGCGAAGCCGAAATCGTTCTTGATCAATGGCTGCGCTGTTTCCAGCTAGCCCTTGGATCTCGTTCACGGCCCGCAACTCCTGGTTCTTGACCAAGTGGAATCGTTCCTGCATTGCTTGTAATGCTTGTTCTGAACTTGCTGTGTTCGACCGGAGGACCAAGTTCTCTCTGGCATGTTCATGAAGTTCATGAGTCAGACGCTCATACTCACGTGCCATAAGCTCACCATCGCCTTGCGCTCTTGCCTCCAACTGCACAAAGTTAGTGGCTGCCTCCGTGCGGAACACGTGTAGCTGTTGAGCTAACTCCTCGGCAACGGCATGTGCTTGACGTTGTTGAGCAGAGTTCTGTTCATCCATGCGAAACAAAGCTGTTTCATAGTCTCGCTTCATCTCCTGATTGACATTGTTGATGTGCCTCATGGCTAAGCATGCATGGTCACGTTGTCGTTCCAATTCTTCAATGCGAATTCCAGATCCTTCATCTTCTTGTTGCATCTCCTTGATCTTGTCCATCAGGGTCTGAACAACTCCTTCGTACTCTTGCATCTGACTGCGATAGTACATCTGCTGCGCAAGGTTAGATGCTTCGAGCTGTTGCGAAATCGTCAGTTCCTGATAGGCATTCGGACCATCGGCTATGGCTGGCGTGGTCACCGATGACGCATCACCACGTGCTGGGATAGTGTCCAGAGTCATATCCAGATCGTCAGCATCACGTGGTTGATTGGTAACCATCCGATTCCAAGTCATGGATTTGTCACGCCCACGAGTAGCCGAAGTCCTCGATCGTGCTGAAGAGCTTCTCGAAGATGATGGTCTTGACTTCTTTTCCAAGGTCTTCACTCCTTTGTCCTTGGCCCTGGACGTAGTCCGAGGTGCCTGAAAACCAGACGCTTCGGCTCGTCGTTCGGGAGCCTTGCCCGTCCTCGAACCTGTGGATGTCGGACGCGAAGGCGTAGATGCTCTTGGTAGACTCTTTGCTTTCCCCTTGGGAACTGCCTTTGCAATGGCAAGCGCAGAAGATTGACCTTTGTCATCTTCCGTGGAGCTATCAACGGATTGCACCACTGTGTCATCAGCTGTTGACTCACCAACGGCTGGCGCTGCCACATCGGCACCGAAAGTCATTGTCGTATCTTGGCTTGATCCCGAGTTCATTGTGGTCGTAGTAGATCAAGTAGTCGTTGCTGTAGAAAGGCAGAGCCGCGTACGGCTGATAACCTGCGTGGGGGATTTTTTTGCCTCCCGCCTGGCTAGGACGAACCTACGATGCAGGGTACACTCATGGCGTCATCATCCAGCTATACAACAACTATACAAGTAGGCTTTCACAGCACTCACAAAGCTATAGAACAGTTTGCCTGGTTGTCATCTTCGGACCCCACGCTGGCTTTTGTGTCTTTGCAAAGCCGAAAAGATCGATGAGTCGGGTATGTGTTACACACACTCCACTCGTCTTTGGTGCCGTTTTTCGCTCACACACATACAACTTCGTTGATGCCCCCCTGCGATCTTCCTTTGGCCCGCTTCGGTGCCTGCCACCTCACAAGCAGTAAGAATTCTCTCCACTGAACTCCACATTCTCCCATCGCATGCACTCATCACTCTCACTTTCGCCGGCTCATGCAGTTCTGCAGGATTCGTTGCACGTCCAGACCGTCAAGCCACATGGCAATTTGCATGCCGTGATGATCCAAAGCTCGCGTGTCTACCGGCCGGTCAGTCTCATTGGATGATCCTCTGCCAGTCAGTCGTTTTGGATGGTCCTCACTCAGCGCCTGAATTCCAATGCAGTCATGCCAGGTTGTATTCCATAAATTCAGAACAGTGTCTCACGTGCTCCGCAATGCAGATCCATGCAGCCATCACCAATCGGCCCCCAGATACCATGAGATATTTGTAGGCCCTGTGTTGCCCCCGCTGGTCTTGCACAGTGTAGCAGAACATGCGATGAATTCAATAAATTCCACTAAATTCCAGGAAGCAGTAAATTCAGGAAAAGCAGAATTCATAGACGCCCCCGACGAGCCATGGTTGCCAGTCTGATCATCCGACTCTGGAGTGCAGCCTCCACTGTATATACTGGTCGCAGCAGAACCATGCAATGAAGTCAATAAATTCCAATAGATTCCATTCAGTAGTAAATTCAGAATTCACAGGCGTCCCTGTCAAGCCATGGTTGCCAGTCTGATCATCTGACCATCCGACTCTGGAGTGCAGCCTCCACTGAGCAGCGAAGCAGCGAGTAGTGGGCAGTTCTTCGCCAGTGACACAAGACGATCCGGCCATGGCTGCTGCACTACTGTGACACTTAAGAAGCCCTGAAAAACCACAAATCGAGTGGGGTCCCTGTTTATATTGAGGTCCCATAGCCCCTGAGAGCGAACCCAGTATCACCCTCAATAGGAGTAGTATAACATACATGATAGCCCAACCCCTAAGGAGAGGGAGACCGGACGGAACAGATGGGTCGGGAGTCGACGACGACAGATCACTGCGCTGTTGCAATCACCTTGTGTAAGTGCAGGGACAGGTTTTTATAGCTTTTTTGTGGATTTCCGAAGTTGTTTGAGGGGATGCTTACACAAGGAGATCACATCAGCGGCTCTCTGTTGTTCTCAGTGCACTTTGTGCGTCGCTGTCTTCCTCATTATCGCTCTCAATCAACACTATTGTTGATGGTCCTTCACGCAGTCTACCGAACTCTTTAATGCTTCTCTGCAACTGGAAACGTAATCGCCACTGATCCAACTCAGACTCACCTGGTACTGGAAACTGCCATACCTTTTGTAGCAGGGAGGAATTGGTTTTGCAGAGGCATCGGGAGTGTATGGTATTGAAGGCTATGAGAGTCACCCTAGTGTGCCCTTTCCATGGAGTGCAGGCATGCAGGAGGCTTCTACTCGGGAAAAGAATGGGTTGTTGTTGCACTGGCACAATGCTACCCCACACTGTCTTGCCGTGATGACTTACAGGATGGTTACCACGGTCATCGCGGATCCATAAGTCGCCTCCTTCCTGTGTAGTAAGGCAGGACAGGAATGACAGGCCATCAAAATTGTTGAGGTCTCGGTGGGGGCCTTTATGACCATTAGCGATGATGGCAATGGTGGTGAACTTGAAACTGGGGGCCCAACTAGATACGAAGCGGACAAGGGCCTTGGTTGTTCTGCTGAACTCGAAAGTGCAGTGCGTGATCTGATTGGGGTCACGGGGATTCTGGCCTAGTACCATATAGGACATCTCACGTTTTGGGCATTGAGGAAGTTCAGGGGGTTGCTGTGAAGGCTTGGGACGGAGGCGCTTGGCTTTCGGGATTAGGGTCCACAATGTCAGTATGTCGGAGTGCAGGATTGGTTCATCAGGTGACCTATTCAGGAGCTCAGTTGCAGCGCTCTCGACGTTGCCACATCGATGTTCAGTTGTTAAGGCCTGTGGTACCTGGCTTGGGGCTGTGAGGCAGGTTTTGGGCTCGAGTTTCAGGCGTTTCACTCTGGGGTGACACAGTGTTTCACGCTGGTTTTCAACGGGGACTGTGTCAGGCAGCATCAGACCTTCGAAAATCCCCAGACAATCCTGAACTTTAAACGCCAAGAGAACATGGAGCCCTGAAAATCATGTGTTCTTCCTGAGCCACAAGCGATTGACCACAAGTATTAACCACAGATCATCAAGTGCAACGGAGTTCGCACGCGAAACACTGACATGCTACGACTGAATTGTCAAGCGATCGGTGTCTTCTTTTGGGCGGCGGGGCCGTCAGTCGTTTGTTCGCACGTCGTGAGCACTCAGATGTTCCAGCATACAGCATGTTGCAGCACAATTTCTGCGTGGGGGATTGATCTCGACTAGGTTGCTGCTCTCCCCACCAGAGCTGTAATGAATGTAGGTGTGGCTGGCTTGCACTCTCCACAGACTGGACCCTGTCTCTCTTACACTTCCACACGTGCAATCCTATGCAGGCAGAACCGGCGGCCGTTCCTTTTGCACTCACTGCCGGCGGCGGTTCGTCTGTGCAACGGGATAGCTCTGATTGCTCAGGATAGAAGACACTTATAGCACTTAGCTATGGGCATTGACTTGAGCCTTGAGCCAAACGTTGCGTGGGCGGTCACATAGAGAGGTAAAGACGAGGGACGCGTAGCGTGCCCCCTTAGAGTCGAGGGACGCGTAGCGTGCCCCCTTCTCTTGCACTTTACACGGTCTTGCTCACAGCTCTTATAGTGACACCTTAGAACTTGACAAGGCATCGCAGTCCGTTCGCAAAAGGAACCACTATGGAGCCTTAGGGTAGAACCTCAGGTGAACCTTCAAAGCGCAGCTCTGAGGCGACCACGTTCTCTGGATCTGCTACGCTCCTTCTCGCGGCCTTAGGGCTGCCGTCGAGTTGTGTGTGTGTATATATATATATATATAATTATAGTTATAATTATACTTATAATTTTAAATATATTATTATGTTATATTATATTATATTATATTATATTATATTATATTATATTATATTATATTATATTGTATTATATTATATTATATTAGATCATATTATACTATATTATACTATACTATATTATATTATATTCTATTATATTATATTATACTATATTATATTATGCTATGTTATACTATACTATACTATATTATGCTATACTATATTATATTATAGTATATTATATTATATTATACTATACTACATTATATTCTATTATATTATATTATGTTGTATTATATTATATTATACTATACTATATTATATTCTATTATATTACATTATATTATACTATATTATATTATATTATGTTATACTATACTATACTGTATTATGTTATACTATATTTTGTTATATTATATTATATTATATTATATTATATTATATTATATTATATTATATTATATTATATTATATTACATTATATTATATTACATCCTTTTATACTATATTATATTATATTATATTCCATTATATTATATTACATATATATATATATATATATTATAAGTAGCCTGATGCTTCAAGAGGTTTGTGCTTTCGTCCCTCGCTTTGCTGCCCTCCGTACACTCTGTCCAAGACTCCGTTCGGGAGCTACATGCCGTCTCGTCTCAACCTCAAGGCTCTGGAAGGCTCCTCCTGTCGAAAGTTGAGCTCGAAAGCAGACGAATCTCTATCAACCAAAGCGGCGCGGCGGCTCCCTGCGCGGAGTTCGCTCTCGCCGTCGGGAGCGGCTTCTGCGGCGGGAGCGGCTGCGCCTGCTGGGTCTCTGATGTCTCTGGTCGTCGTGTCTTACCCAGGCGTTGACAGTCTTCTTGTGTATGTAGCCGTCGTGTATGTGTAGACAAACAGGCAGGCAAACAGACAGACAGTCCATAGAACAAATCGATGTAGACGTATGTCTGTCTGTGTATGTGTCTGTATATGTGTACATATGTGTGTGTGTATGTAACTGTATAAGATATGTGTTCAAGATTGTTCAAGAATAGATAAGCAATAAACTCGTACCTATGATTATCCATATAGCAAATACAGACAGAGAGGGAGGGGGAGAGAGAGAATAGAGAGACAGAGAGAGAGAGAGAGAGAAAGAGAGAGAGAGAGAGAGAGAAACAAATGTCCACACACGCTACAGGGCTCAGCCCTTTAAAGGGCTGAGGGTGGAGCTGCGGTGCAACCCGGAATCCCTTTCACGAAGGCCTTTTCCGGGAGCGACTTCGGCCTTAGATGGGCTGCATCAAGCTGACATGTGACTTGGGAAGCGACATGCGGGATAACAGCCATGGGGTTCTCACGACATCTCGCGACTCTTTCGATGTTTACTAGCTATGAGCGAAGCAGCGCTTTGAAGCCCCATACGCCGAAAGCCAAAAGCTACACTCTGCTGTCGTCCACTGCTTGCCCTTCTTAGCTTCCGGCGCGGGCGGTCTCGCTCCCGATCCCGCTCGCGCTCCCGCTGGAACTCCCGTGGCCGGGGTGGAGGGGGTCGGCGGTCCATGATCGCGAACTGCCTGAGGGAAGGCCGGTCGGGGCTTGTTGTGTGGTTGACTGTTGACTCCACGCTTAATTGCCTTAGTCGCACTTCCTGGCGCAAGTCGGTATGCACAAGCTGCTTGCAGGATCTTCGTGCCGAGCACGAGCACTACTAGTCAGCATAAAGGGTGTAGAAGGCTGTCAGTCGGAAGACGATCCATCTGCATACACAGGCACATGCGAAAGGACGTTCAGGTTGTGCAATTGCCGTGCCTCATGCCGCCGTCCTCAAAATCATTGGCTTTGCTGAGCTCGCCAAGGTCG